TCTCAGAAAGTCACAGGGGCAGTTCTATCCTGTCCCATAGGGTTGCTCTGAGTTGGCATCCAATCAATGGCAGTGAGATAACAGAGCCCCTAGGAGACACAGTTATGGAAACTCCTCACACCTATCCAAACACCTCGTGCTACTAAATTACTGTGTTTGAAAGCTAAGGACCATAGTCTCGGGAACATCTAAGTTAACTGACCTTACACAATTCATCAACGACGTTCTATATTCTAATTTGGTGAGTAGCATTTAGGGTCTTATATTAAAGCCATCTAAGATATAACTATTGATCTCTTCACATCAGGAGAGAAAAGGTAATTGAAGGGAACCAAAGACTCAAGGAAGCAATTAGTCTAATGGTCCACAGAAACCAAGGCAGTTCTCTAGCCAGAGACCAGAAAAACTAAATGGTGCCTACCTACCATCAATCACTCTAGGAAGGACATAACGGAAGATCCTGGTTAAAGTGGGAGGAAAATGTAGAATAAAACTCAAAGTCAAAACCAAAGACTAGGCTTATTGGATTGATAAAGACAGGAAGAACTCCTGACTACTGACCTAAGATCACCTTTCAATCTAGACGTGAAGCCACACCCAGAGGTCATGTTTCAGAGACAATAATACATAGACCTATAAACTAAAACACCTGTGAGGAATGTATTCTTAGATTAACCAACTATATAAAATTCAAAGGACAGCATGTGTTCAAAAGCCAAGTGGAGAAGGGGAACCAGAGGGTCAAACAGAAAGGGAAGGGTGCAAGTGGGAAGGTTGTTGACACATTGCAGGGGTAACAACCTATGTTACGACATAATTTATGTATACATTTTTGAATGGGAAAATAATGTACAGTGCAAGCTTTTACCTAAAACACAATAAAATTCCCTCTAAAAAGAGATAAACTTTTAAAAAAATCACCTGAACAAAATAGGGTGAGGAAAGGGGGTTACGAGAAACAGCTAACATAAACTATGGCAACAGGATAATAGTTTTGAGGAAATTATTTTTATTTCCTGTCCTGTGTGATGATGTAAATGTGTATTTTATGATAAATCAATCTGAATAAAAGATTTGGGGAGAAGGCACTTTCTGTGTATGCGATATTTCACAATAAATAAAGTGCATTTAAAAAATACATATAAATCCTTTGAATAAAGTTTTTTAAAAGCACCTACTCCCACTCACTCACTCTCTCACTCACTCACTCTCATTCACTGACTCACTGCCTCACTGACTCACTCTCTAATTCACTCATTCTCACTCTCTCACTCACTGACTCACTGACTCACTTTCATTCACTGACCCACTCTCTCACTCTCACTCACTCACTCACGATCACTCTTTCACTCTCTCCCACTCTCTCACACTCTTATGCTCTCTCACTCACTCACTCTCTCACTCACTCACTCTCATTCACTCACACTAACTCTCTCATTCACTCACTCACTCTCTCACTCACTCTCATTCACTGACTCACTCACTCACTCTCTAATTCACTCATTCTCACTGACTCACTCTCATTCACTGACTCACTCTCTCACTCACTCACTTTCATTCACTGACTCACTCTCTCACTCACACTCACTCACTCACTCACTCTCATTCACTGACTCACTCTCTCTCACTCACTCACTCTCCCATACTCTCACTTACTCTCTCACTCACTCACTCACTCTTTCACTTTCTCACATTCTCTCACACTCTCACGCTCTCTCACTCACTCACTGACTCACTCTCTCACTCACTCACTCTCACCCACTCTCTCATTCACTCTCGCACT